TTTTAACACTTGACCTTTAAGTGTGACCTTGGCTTTGGCGTAGCAACCCAATTATTGTGCTCTGCACATCGTCTCATATTGGTGATCACTTGTGACCAGTTATTTCATTTTTTCAGCGTTTGAAAGGCTATGGAGCAATATGGAATGTAGACATTTTAACACTTGACCTTTAAGTGTGACCTTGACCTTAGGGTAGTAACCTAATTATTGCGCTTTGCACATCGTCTCATAATGGTGACCACTTGTGCCAATTTAATTTATCAACAAACAAAAAAATCAGCGGTTTAAAAGTTATGGAAAATGCACACAATTTTTACGAACGGACAGACAGACAGACAGACGAAGGCCATTCCTATATAATACACCCTCCCCTCTTTGCGGAAGGGGGTTAAAAATATATGTCTCGTAACAGTCATTCTTCCTCTTGAAATATTAAATACTTTGTACAAGCTTTCAAAAATAAGTGGCGCTTTTAGAAGCAACTAGATATTAAGTGTTTATAAAAACTCTTGAAACCGTATTTTAGGTCATAGTTAATTTTTGGCAGGTTATTTAATACATACACTGAAAATATCACCTCTAGAATTTGATCATGTGACATTAACATACTTGTCTCAAATAAATAATAAGAATCTCCCACAAACACGCACAACAATAAACAGTTTTAGAACAAAAATCAACAACGTAAAAAAAAATCCGTGCATTATTCCTGTTTTGCATTGTTTTTGTTTTTTTGTTGTTGTTTTTTTTTTGTGTATTGTTTTTGTTGTTGTTGTTCACTGATAAAAATTCACTTAATTTCAAAACCTCAAGAAAACATTCAAAAATCCTATACACAAAAGTTCTCTATTTTTTTTTTATTTGCAGAATCCTGCAATCTTAATCTTCTTGTCAGCCTTATTCTTAGTGTAAGCCTCGGCAAGTCCTGCGACGGCCGATGGTGTCGTTGTTCCACCAGCTCGATTCACAAACCAGTCTGATCCCTCACATAAAGCGTGATATATCACATTTGAACAACTTCTTTGCATCAGATCCCATCGTTTTGAACCTTCCAGAAGTTTCTTGAAAAACTTCCTAATTTTATCCTCATCCAATCCACTCATATGATACGTTTTGGATGGATTCCCATTTACCATTAACTCACTCTGAAAGTCATCGTACCACTTCGCCTGTGTGCCGGTGATGGCATCGACCAGCGAACTAAGTTCTTCCCTTGGCCACCAACTCACATAGGATCCATCCGAAAGTTCCAGAGCGATATGCCCGAAACTTTTAAGAGAAGATGGATTCCAAACATAGATTCTAGTCACCATCGTACTTTCTTTTCTTTCTCTATGCTATCTATTTAGTAAATAGCATTTACATACAGTACGGCGTCTAAATCGGGCCATCATACAGTAACAGTTGCAGAATTATAAAGTAAACAATAAAGTAAATGTTTAGTTTATGACGAGTACACTTTCAGTTATGCATTTTATATGGTGTGAAATAAATTCAACCACGGCAAAGGGGTGTAATAAAGCCATTTAATAATAACGATATTACAATAGTGTAAAAACACCTTGACCTGACGTCATTCACGTGATATACAAACATGTCCGCGTTACACTATGCGGTAGGCACGTCAGCGAAAAATGACTGTCTTATCTATAAAACCGTTCTTATTTCAGAAATGTGATAAATAGAATATTATATTCGTGTAGATTCAATACTTAATTTATTAAACGCGTTGAATAAAACAATATTTTGCTCACCTGAAGCTCGCATAATATGAATTGTATTGTTCAAAATAAATTAAATCTACTCTACATACATAAATATAAGGGATTATCGTTGTTCATAAATAAATTTTAATGAATGACAGTTAATCACATGTCCTTACCAGTGCGTCGTAGTCAACATTTCGAAACTAGAGAAACTTCCATCAAGTATCTTTTATATTGCATACTTATCCTAACTAACAGGAAATTGTGAAGCGTATATCTGAAAACTTCCCTGTTGAACTACATATATATATCAATATGTAAAACACATTCTTCTATTCATTCCTGTTCGTTTGTTCTTGTTTTATGTTTTTGTTGCTGTTGTTGTTTTATTGATAGCAGAATTTAGCGTTATAAATAGAAATATACGCAGTGATAATATTTCTTGAAATTGTCTCTTTAAGTGGATTGGGGTGGGGACCGTAAATTAAGGTGGGGAATAATTTCTGTTTGCAACGTTATTTCAGTCACATAAAGATGCCTACGTGCAAAAAGTATTCTTTGCTATTACATGTACATAAATTAATTTGTTTTCACAAGTGTATGATATATTTTCTGCATCTGGTCCAAAATATGTCACAGAATTGTTTTCGCATTCCCACCCCACACACCTGCCACCCTCTATTAAATCAGCAAGTCTACAGATTTATGCTAATTTTCATGAAAATTTTGAAAATGTATTAAAAAGTAAAATATTGCGAAATGAACAAAGAAAATAATTTTCAAATTGCAAACGGCACTTACAGACCATAAAAATTACCAAAAAAAACCCAGGTCAAAATATACAAATTTGCCCTTACCGCGTTAGTAGCGCAGTCTAAAGATAGTGAAAAATACTGCAAAATTGGTAATAAATGCCTCATAACATGAAAAATATTACATTTATCTTGAATCTTTTTTTTTACTTTTCTTCAAATCTTAGTAATTTTGTCAAGTATGATTTCGGTCATCTGGAGGCATGCAGCTTTAAGCTCACCAGGCGGGTTTAATAGCATATTTACAACGGCCTCTTTAATTTCGTGTAAAATCAAATCACCTGCATGTAACATTTATAGTACAAATTATTGATTACAAACTTTCTAGGCGAAATTAAGAAATGATATAGAGGATATTCAAGTTTTTTCTATAAATACATGATTTATTTTCATCGAGTGGTATGAAAATAAATATTTCATGAGTGGCGGTAGCCACGAGTGAAATATGGTAATTTTCATGTCACAAGATGAAAATAAATCATGTATTTATAGAAAAAACTTGAATTTTCTGTTTATTATATACATTTTTCTCTTTCTGGACATTAAAATTTGCAAGACTTTCCCTCAAATTTTGAGTACTGGCAGAATTTAAAAGAAAGTAGTCCGGCAAGACACCAGTGAAAATACGGAAAATATGTTTCACTGCAGTGAAAAATAAATTTTTACAGTGAAAATACGGAAAATGAAAATACGCATTTTATTTCATCAATATTTCTCAATATTTCATTTAAAAGTATATAATAAATATTTTTTCTGAGCCTTATGATGTGAAAAGTATGTCTACTGTAAGCAAATAACATTCATGATAATATCCAGATACACTGCTTAGTCATAATGGATACAAGAGAGACCACTCGTACGCCAACTCGTTACATTGTTCAGTTTGTGTTATCTCCCTTTAACAATTCATCGACTTGTGGCGAGAATACGACGTCTCGGTCAGGATTTAAAGAAATACTCTTAGCCACTTGGAAAAGGAGGGCCCTCAAAATTGATTGCAACCTTTCGTATCTGTTCGTGTTATTCCGCCATCTCCGATGGTTATCATTTCTCTTTGGTGTTATCTGGTGAAAGTACCATCTTTCATAGGTGCCTAATCGGGTTTGCATTATCTCTCGGACATTTTTTTTTCTGATGAAATATTATAAGAAAAAAATTCATGTAAGCTAGGTTTGGTAGAATTTGTATTGGTTCATGATCAACCGCTAAAACCAGTATTGCTTTGAAAATTTCATTTCACCGTTCTATAGCGGCCAAACGGCAATATCTCTGTTTCACATTTTATATATAGTATTATCTAGCAGTTGTAATTCTTCGACTCACAAGAAAATACAAGTTAAAAATTTAAAATTCAGAAAGCTCCAAAGAAAGTTACAGTGATCGAAGTTAAATAACTATGTGCTATTATACTCGTCTAGACCAGTATCTAACAATAAATTGAATGGGATTTATATAGGCTCGAAAAAAATATCATCGTAATCACTCACTCATCGTGCGGTGTTTTCACTATATAATTACTTTGTACTGACAATGTACGTAAATATTAGTCTCTGTGTTGTCTGCTGAAAACATTTGAATTTTATTTTAAATATAACCTAGTAAATTAATACTTTTTCTTGTTTCTATAATTTAAATTTTGAACAATTTCATTGGCCCTTTTTCATACAAAAGGTTTACTGTATATGTATTCTATCTAGAACCTGTCAAAATGTTTGTATATTGAGTATCTGAATGAGCTTTCTTATTCTGCAAAGTAGGCCTTATCCATTGTACAAATATGATTTTGATGACAAAAATAGTAATTTATGTTATAATTACTTTTTATATGTAATATTATTCGTATTTAAGCTGCATGCATCCAGGTGAGTCAAAATAATCAAGAAAATCAAATTTGAGAAAAAGTACTGAAATTTTTAAGAAAAGTTAAAAAATACGTGGTACTGTAAATAAATAATTTCCATAACTTGCCATTATGACCGATTTTGCAGTAGTTTTCACCATATTTCTACTGTTACAAGTTTACGCAGTAAGAACTTATTTCGCATATTTTGACGTCTTTTTGGTAACCCATGTAAGTGCCGTTTGAAATGTGAAAATTATTTACTTTGTTCACTTCACACTATTTTACTTAGTAACACATGTACATTTAAAAAAAAAATTAATAAATATTAGCATGTACTTTGAAGTAATAAGTAATTAAATTTCATGATATTGTGGTAAGCGTGGGGTATTTAAATTAATTAAAAAAAGTTATATTTTATGCAGTTTATAAATACCGAGTATAATTCAAATTCGTTTTTTTTTTCTATGACCATATAAATTACATTGACTGTTATATCCTCCTTATATCCTTGATAACCCCGATATTTTAACAACAGAATACTGTATATAATTATTGTTACCGCGATTCACTCAAGCGAAAATAAGTAAACATAACCTTTAACCTTTTACGGAAGACATAGTACGCATACGATTGGTTAACACACGGCCTCATTCCCACGTGTGTACGAAACAAAGAGGGTGGAGAGATTTTATTGTGTGTCAAAATCCCGTTAAATGGGACATTTCTAGCGAATGTGTCTTTGGAGATAGCACAAAATAGAAGCTGCATGGCAGGGTTCAAACTTGGGATTGTTAGACTTGGTCAAGCGGCAGGAAAGGTGAATAACTTTCTAATCAACGATCACTTTCACTTAGTTAATTTCTGGTTGGAAGCCATTTTCTGTCTGAATTGAGTGAATATAATGATTTTATTGTGTGCTTTTTTTTCCCTGACAATTTCTGTCACGTGTGTAACCGAATGCTTCTGTTATTTTGACTTGATTCATTAAATTTTGTAACCGGGTTTATTGTCGTTTGTTTAACCGACAAGCGCAATATATGATTAGGAACCATGGACCGGGAAAATCAATGTTATACATGTACAGGCTACAGCTCACATGTATTATCTTTTGTGTAGACTGGCAACAGGAATATTTCGATCAATAAAATAAAAACTCTCCGCATTTTTTGTTGAGATTATAGAATGACAGTTTGAATATTGTAATACTTTATCTAGGTTATTTTCAATCATTGAAGTCCTGAAGTCAAATTAGATAATCTGTTAAATCTGAAATTTAAATTAGAGTCTAGTTTAATTAAGACAATAAATAATTAATTTATTGGTAGATCTACTGTAAACATAACATATTTTAACATCAAGGCAAGGTCTAAATGCGATGTTCTAAAAGACAGAAAGATTCCTGACCTGTCTAATTCTAATTAATGATAAAGTATCAGATAATTAAATAAATAGATACAATAAGAATTTCACCACACAGAAGAGCACATGTCCATGTTTGTGTTTAAATCTATTGTTATTCAAATTAAAGGTCAGAGTAAGGATCAATCAATTAATAACAAAATAAACATATTTTACATGAAATGATAGCTTTTGCTTCATGTTTGTATATATTTAAGGATGTCACATCTATTGAAAAACAAATTGCATTAGATACAAATATCTTGAAATTAAAGTAAAGTAAAAAAAATTGAATAACCAATACATATATAAATTTATACATTCTGTTAATTATAAAATATTTAATAGTGAGTTATTTATCATACAGTAATAATTGAAATCTTTTAATGTCTTATATTTATAGAACTGTAGTCAATGTTGGTTGTTGACTTTCTCTAACTTACATTTTAAAATTTTGCAGGACATTTTAAACTTTTGCAGGCATTACAAAATTAATTAAAACGTAGATTAATATTAAATGTATGATAAAACATTTCAAATAAAATTAAAAATATATGTACGTTCATCTGATCTCCAATGACTGGTTGAATACATGTAATTTACATGGGATTTTTAATTTTTTTTTTTTAAGAAACAATGTGCTGTTTTGATAAAAAATAATGTATTTAAAATCCTTGAGTTCTGGCTGGGAGTCAAACACTGGACCTTATAACAATTAACATGTGTAGCAGAAATTACATTGAAACTAGTCAATGTTTTACTGTACAAAATATCTTAAAAATATTATCTGTGCTCATTTTTCAGTCTGGACAAATAAAGACATAAATTTGTCATTTTTAGAGAAAATTTTAAAATATGTCCTCACTGAATAGTGGTGTGCGGGCTGAAATGGTGTCAGCACTGGACGCAAAAGCTGTCCGAAGGCCAATGTTTGAAAAGGCAGCAAAGCAACCTTTTCTAAGTTTAATCATATTTATTACATGCTTTTCGGTGGTTTATAGAAATATATCAGTGAAATAAGAACTGATAATTTCACTGTTTTGAATATTTGAGCCCGTTACGTTGTTTCAGTGAAATACAAGCGTTCACAGTACTGGAAACCAACTTAATGACGTGACATCGTAAATGATGTCACGTTGTATTATTATTTGGTGCCCATTTCAATTAGTACTAGGTTAAAATGTCTTTTTAAACATTTCTTTGCATATAATAAAAAGAAAATTTGTTTAGTTCAATGTTAGATCGAAATATATTTCACCTTGTGAACACCAAAAGTTCATATTTCACTCGTGGCTGCGCCACTCGTGAATTATACCTTTTGGTGCTCACTCGGAGAAATATATTCCGATCTTACACTGAACTAAACAAATATCCTCTATTTATTTACGCTTGATAATGAAACAAAGTCTTGCAAGTTATACAGCTTTAGACAGTATAATATAAATGTATATAAAGTAATTAGATAGCTATAAATAACTCCCAAACCCATGCCTGTCGACTGGATCTGACCAGTTTTGATTTCATATGAGGAAACATGGTTGTGTGAACCGAGAAAGTCTAAAACCCTTTGGTTGATAGGCGGACACTAATCATATCATGTCAATATCTAAACATAACTTTGTTACATTGTATAAATTAATTTGTATTTAATGGTTACTATATAACTATCAATAATGTATTTAATACAAGATTCCCTGTGTGACAAGAGTGGGAATTTTTTTTTTAATGATTTGCATAAATTGGCTTCAGAAGAAAGGGCTTTATTTCGAACAATATTGTAACATTGGAAATTTTATCAACATTCAGATATCATTCAGCCTTACTCAGACGTTTATCTGAAGTTTTAAGCTAAAGTTAATTCTTTTATCATCTTTGCATAGATATGACAAAGCAGGCATCTTTTGTGTAGATGAAACTGGAGAGATAGGGAGCAATCTGATAACAATAAACTTATTACCAATACTCTTGTATCTATTTTTCTCCATTGAATATTGGAGAGAAAAAAATTGGGGACCAGTCAATGTATTGGAAATTCTTGACAGTACCAGTCTGGCTGTGTTGGGTAATATTGATTGTTTTGTGCATATCTGTCATGGTGTTGAACAAGTTCATTGGTTTTTGACCAGATGTTGATAGCAGCTTGCAGACCTTAGGTTGTCTTCCCCTATTGGTTTTCAACTTTGCCTTTATTGACTAGTCGTTTTACCATTGTGTACTGTATGTATAATGGTCACAGATTGTCCCTTAGGTGATTTTTGCACAGTCTGGTATTGCAACAGTTTGTGGTGGTCAGTCATGTAAACAAATGTACAATAGACTGGTTTATTTGTCAGATTTATGAAATATGATTAAAGAAATTATTTGCCAAATTGATACATAATCATTTATTTCAATTTATTTGTTGATATTAAGTTGATTTTTGTTTTTTATAATTACTTGTATATTTAATACAGGCATAAAAAAATACAGGCAAATTGCTTATCTATTAATTACAATAAATTAATATGTTTAAAAAAAAAAAAACGTCGATAAAACTTGTTTTCTCTGATCTAGAGCTAATTTTAAAGCAACAATTGCTTTGTGAAAACTGTAAGTCAAAACATAAATAGCTTCTTGGTAGTTAAAGTTTGATAGGAAAAAAAAGTGGTGAAAAGCTTGAAAAAAAAGTTATTTTTATTGTCCTGATGTGTTGAGGGAGATTTGGTATTCTTCATTCAACTTTACCTAACTTGCCTTGTTCTTTTTTTAATGTGAAATAACTTTCAATTTAGTGCTTCAGCCTTTAGTGAAGGTTCGAGTGATCTGAAATTTAAATGTTTAGTTATTGGATTTCTATTGAAGTTTATTTGATGAATGGTTTTCTTTACTAGTTCGTTTTTGTGCTCATTCTATTATGCTACATTAAAATAGAGACACTTTCCATTTAATTTTTTAGAAGAGCAAAAAAAAGGAGTGTTGAAAGTTATGTTTACACATATCATACATGTACTTTGTAACAGACCTTTGTTTTATTTCAATTGTTTTTAGTTCAATTGTGTTTCATGCAGTCTTTCCTGCTTTGTCGTGACTAAGACCATGATTTTGTAGTTAAAGCTAGGGTATTAACTCATTACTTGTAAAAAAAAAACTTTTTTCACAAATAATCTTAATATTTAAAGTTTAACTACTAACTATATAATTTCAAACTTCTTTAATAACAAAAAACAAACAAACAAAAAACAAAAAAAATAAAAAAAACAACAAAAAAACCATTTCTGCATGTATCTTCAATAAAATTATCTATATCTCTATTAAGTCTGATAATTCTGCTAAGATATAAATTATGTTGAAAGATTATGTTAAGATTTCAAAAAAACAGTGTAATCATGAAAAGGCCAGTGTAATCATTAAGTTACGGATATATGAAAACACTTAAAAGTGTAAATCTTTATGATCACCCAAGTGCTCAACAACTTTCAAGTTGAAACAATAGCGAGACTTGCCGAAACACCGATGTTTATCACCGAAACACGATGTTAATCACTGTAACACGATTGTATTTTGAAAGCTTGGTTTGTTCAGGCTACGTTAGACATGCTCGATTAATCTTGAAAAGTCAATATAATAAAACGCCGCAACAAAAGAGTTGAAATAGATTTATCGGAAATCAAATATTTACTCTCGGTTTTCAAACTGTTTGAAAGATTATAGGACCTTACCATGAAAACATTTTTGTAGATGTATACGTAAGCTATAAAAGTTTATGTATTAAATGTAGTGAGATGATATAGGTTTAAGGACAATCATGAAATTAAGTCTTACAAGCTTAAAGTTAACCCATATTCAGAATTATGTTTGAAAAATCAAATCTTTTGGTGTTTTTTTTTCCCTGTCACTAGCATTTTAAAGTACAAGAATATTTTGTCACCTTAGTGCAATAACGGGTTAAGTTTTATTAAATTATATAAGGAGTTAACCCATTTCTGCACTAAGGTAACGATATATGCCACTGAAAAATTATTTAATACAAATGTATAAATGTTTGATGTTAAGAGCAATCTATATTCAGCCAAATTCTCATCATTATGCCATACACTTGACCAGGCCCCGGGTTCACAAAGATTTAAGGATGAGGATCAAATTTAAAAACTCAAATATTCTCCATAATATTTACCCTTATCAGGGCCAAAAAACCCTTCTTTGTAGAGGCCGAATATAGGCTACTTCCCCAACCAAAATAGCCTCTTTTTTTCCCCACTTTGTTCCTCAAAATTCCCCAGTCTTTTGAAATTTCCCATAGAATTTAGAACAAAATTAAATGATGGTGTTGATTAAAGTCTTTTACTGCCTTATTAGTATTTCCCTGTGCTTTTTGCTTTTCTATTTTGAAGAACTTGTTAAAAATTTGTGTTGAATTTAAGACCCCTTTTCCCAAAGTAC